GGGGGGGTGTTAGACATCATCTTTCAGATGATCATTTGTATTTCATGTTTCAGCTAAAAGTGCTTTGGGAATCACTTTGTTGGTGCTAAAAGATGTTTTTTTTTTTTGAATTTTTCATAGATTCAACAAAATAAATGAAAATCATTTCGCTGTGGGTAACAATGCTCCAGTTTAAAGTTGGTTATTTCAAATTATCCGTTCCTTTATTCTTCTTTTTATGCCTCAGTGACTCATAGGTAAAATGTCATGTGCTTGAACAAAGAAATATTCCTTTAAAATTATCCAAATGTGGACCGAAAATAAGCGAAAAGCAGAAAAGAATGAGAAAAAAGTTAAATCTCTAATAAAACCTGCAAAGATTACAAATAATTTTTTTTGGAAAGAACCAAATAAAAGGCCAAGTATTCCAGGTCAGACTGCAAATCATCTGTGTCAGATTTTGTAGTTAAAATCAGACTATGTGAAGAAAAGTCCAAGTTGTAGTATAATATATGTATATGTATGTAAATGTATTGTGATGACTCTCAGCAACTACTAGATAAACTTCAGTTCAAACTCTGCAAATTTGAAATTCATCCGTCTATTATCTTTACCTGCTTTGCTCTTTTTGGGCTGCCGGGGTCACTGGTCATGTCCAGCTGACAGATGTGTAAAGAAACTAAGTACAAATACTTTGTTACTGATTTAAGTACAAATTTTGATTATCTGTACTTTACTTGAGTAATTATTTTTCAGCCTACTTTTTACCTCTACGCCTAATATTTTCACACAATTATCTGTACTTTCTACTCCTTTCTCTTACTCCTTGTTGGATTCTGAAACAAAACATTTTTTTTCTATTCTTGTACAATTCTTCATATTATATTTTTATTTTTATTATTAGTAGTTGTATCATGGCTAGTAAGTGTTAATTTTGGTTTGTGTGTATTATCTATAGTTTGTAAAGTAACTAGTGTGTGAACTTTTGTACCGATGCTGCTGTTACACCTGAATTTCCCCGCTGCGGGAAAATAAAGGCTATTTCTATTCTATTCTATTCTATTCTATTCTATTCTATTCTATTCTATTCTATTCTTGAAAAAGGGCAAGAAAAACAAAGTCATCACTCCTGTTTCATTTTGGCTTTTTTCATTCCAGGATTCCACAGAAAAGAGAAGAAAAGAAAAGAMACTATCCAGATAAATTGCACGTCCTGCATAGATATACCATTATATTGTATTAGCCAGCAGGACATGGTAGACATATAGCCTAGTGCGAAGATGTCTGTGGCGTATATGCAGTGAAACAGGTCGACTATCCATCCTCCATCCATTATCTTTTCTCCCCTTCTTCACTGGTATGGTCACTGGTGTCCACATCCAGCAGTCACTGTGTGAGGGGTAGACCAGTGCATCCTAAATGTTTGAACATTAACATTATATACATTATAGCCTGCAGAAAATGTTTATTTTTTTTTGGGGGGGGGGGGGTAATTTTGAAATATCAAACTACTCACTTTTACTCAATACTTTTTCTTTCAATAATTAAGTACATTTTATGTCAGACGTTTACATTTACTCTGCAAAAACTGTCCATCTTACCAAGTTTTAAAATCATACATCCAGCCAAAACGTCTTTTTGATCTTGTTTGAGGCTGATTTACTAAACAAGAACTGATTRTGTAAGAATAATAATCTTGTTTTCGGAATGTGTAAGATTATTTGTCTTGTTAGTCTGAAAATTTGACTCAAATTAAGTCAAAAATTTCTGCCAATGGAGTAAGAAAATTTTACTTGGTAAGATTCTTGAAATACTTGATTTGACTCAATTTTTTCTTATTTCAAGAATCTTACCAAGAAAAATTTTCTTACTCCATTGGCAGAAATTTTTGACTTAATTTGAGTCAAATTTTCAGGCTAACAAGACAAATAATCTTACACATTCTGTAAACAAGATTATTATTCTTACACAATCAGTTCTTGTTTAGTAAATCAGTCTCAAAACAAGATCAAAAAGACTTTTTGGCTGGATATAAGTTTTTAAAACTTGGTTAGGTGGACATTTTTTGCAGTGATTTGATACTTACACACACAAAAAAATGAGATCTTTAAACTTTTATTCAAGTAATATTCTTAGAGGTGGCTTTAAATTTACCAAAGTATTTCATGACAAGACACTTGTACTTTTACTCAAGTATCGCTTTAAGTTACTTTATACAAGACTGCCAGCTGAAAGGTTTCATCAAAATCCGTCAAGTAGTTCATGAGATATTTTGTCAACAGACAAAAGGAGTAGGTTCCAATCATTAACGGCCATGTTTTCGACAAACACCTCGCATGAGCTGTTGGCTCTCAGACCCTAACTCTTTGCTACTACATTATCCTTCAGATCAGTTTCTTTAAAATGAATTGAGTTAGTCATTTTTGTGTTTTCTGATCAGCTGCAGTAACCATCTTGAAATGAGCTGACTCAAAAGTGTAATCAGTTACAGAAGCACACCCAGTTACTACATCYTGAAAGTTACATTAAAATCAGTCCAGTGGTTCACGAGTTATTTTGCTAACAGACAACAAGGTTGATTCTAGTAGTTGATGCCCAAAGTTTTAAACGAACCTCACATAATCAGTTAGTGCTCAAAGCGTCTATTGGGGATGACTCTCAGCTACAAACATACAAATTATTRGCTCAGTAGCTGCATAATTAAATGAGTTATGGTCATTTTTGTGTTTTCTACTTTTAGTGGTCTGTGGCAGCCTTCTTGAATTGAGTTGACTCAGAAAATTAATCAGTTGTAGAGGCCATCTAATAATAAAATTTTGAGAATTGCATTAAAATCTGTCCACTGGCTTGAGGGATACTTTGCTAACAGACACACTGTTCATACATATTAAATCTTTAAAGCACATATTGTTTATAATATGGCATTTTTTTTATTCAAGACAGCCTCCTGAACTTTTAAAACACTTTTGCTGACAACAAAATTTTATTTTCACAAAAAAAACAACAACATTTCATTATGTGAAATTAAATATAATTCCTTGTATCTTGTACTCCCCACGCCTACCTGTACCTGGATTTGTTTCCTCTCGACACCTGTAAATCAAGAGCACAGGTACGCTATGACGTGATGCTTATTCTGTTTTATTGCACTCTTACCATGTTGCAAAGAAATGCAAAAAGTAAAACCCACAGAAACAATTAGTCAAATTGTTTTTTTTAAAAAGAAGCATTTTGGTTGTTGGTGGTCTCCCACACATCCGTGGATGCCCTGACACAGACAGGACTACAGGAACTTAAAACTTGCAGAATAGAACCCAAATATAAACCCCATGAAATCAGCACGTCCACGTATGAAGACATCTGTTATTATCTATAGCTTGTACCCTTTTCTGCTATGAAACCAGACATTCAAGTATTTCTATCATTGCACAGGCACTAGATTTTTCCTACTGTATATATTAACTTTCAGCCCAGCGACTGAATCATTGACGCCAGCAGCTGTCGGCCATTGGCGAGGAATGAAATGTACATCCTTAAAAATAAAGCTCTCCACAACAGCAACATCTTGGACGTCGAATACATTACAAAATAAAATAAAATAAAATAATTAGTGTCACATTTTTGGCTTTCAGAGCCGAAAATCAAACCTGAATATAAAAAAAAACAAACAAAAACAAAAGGGATCTAATATTGTAAACAAAAGTGGAAATGCATTGGCCAGTTTTGTTTTTGTACAGACTGGAATGAGCTGGAATGTTTGCACATGCTCAGTTTGCCCCCTTGTGGAGAAATGACGAAGTACGCGTCTGTGGATGCTAAATCATTTTTGTGTGATCAGCTCGTTTTTAAAACAATAAATACAAATTGTAATAAATACTCTCATTCTTTTTTTTTTTCATTTCAAGAACATCTGACAGTTGAGGGGAAAAAAATTAAATTAAATTAAATTATCCAGGAGTAAACCTGCACTCCGATCCAAAATCTCCATCGCGAAAATCCAAACAGCTTAGCAGAAAGAACATTTAAAAAGAAAATATGAAACAAGACATTAAAAAAAAAAAAACTCCAAACAAACAAACATATTTTTGATTCCAATCCACCTTCTTGCATTGCTAACAATAAGTAGATTCAGTTCAGGAAACTCGCTCCGAGGCCCTCAGAATTCACTGAATCCAACAGAAGGGTCCTTACAGCGAGMAGCCGTCTCTGTTTAGTTGCAGCGGTGAGTTGACGGGTGTCTGGGTCGTCTGTGGTGTTGCTATCCTATGTCAGAGTTGATTTTTTTAAGGTGATAAGTGGTGGTTCGGTTTTCGTCCAGCCTCGTGGTTTGGTAAAGTCCCGTCCCATCCAGCAGAACTTCCTTCCAGTACAGCTTCGGTCACCTCAGGAGCGGGGTGGGGGAGAGGTTGGGGGGACTGTCCTCAGRTGAAATTCAGCACAGAAGAAGAGACGAGATTAGATCACTCCAGAGTCTTTACTTCAGASAGCCAGCCCAATCCGGCCAGTCGCGTGCCCCCCTGCCCCCCGGCTACCTCTGTCTGGGGCTGATGTGGGCGTGGTCCTGTCCTTGGTTCTCCTGGAGGTCATCCTCCACCACATAACTGTGACCCTCCTTCTCGATGCATTCAGACAAWACATTTAGCACCTGGAGACAGCAAGACAAGACGTGTCACTGTAAGCTTTTGTCTAAGACAGGGGTCTTTAATATTTTTCAGTCTGGGACCCCTGAATTGATGAAGAGACTGAGCGAGGGCCCTCTTTTATACATTGTTATTGTGTATACTGACATTATCTGTTGACTGTTACCCTTAGGAACTGCAGAGTTGTAGAAACATTGCAATAATTACAGCACTAATAAACTCTCAGCCAAWTACTGTGAACCTGACAGAGCRAACGTGTGGACAGCAGTGGTGGATAGCACTAATCTAAAAATTAGTTCCACTAGCCCTAAAACACTAACTCAAATTTTTAGGTCCCTTAATTCTAAAGCACTAACACTGAAAGTTTTAGCAAAAGATAATTCTAAAGCACTAAAATATCCCAGTCAACCCATGAACRACATGAGTCACATGTTGCCATGTTAAGACTTATCATTGATATTCTACAGCTGTATTTGGGTTCATATATTGTCACCTGGTGGATAACTGACAGCTTTCACCGTCAGCTGTTAATATTAACGTTGATCAATACCATTTAGTTAGAATAGTGAGGATAAACACTGACCAGGCGCAGACGTCGGTCCATGGCGTCCAGGTGTGGCTGGATGAGGATGGGCGTGAGCCGGTCCCTCTCCATGGACTCTGCCATCAGCACTGACAGCTTGTACTCTTCCTTCGCCAGCAGCTGCAGACGCAGGTGGGTCGACTTTCTGACTCTGAACGCAGGAAACAGTGGATGGGAGGGGAAAACTAAGTCAGTTTTGATAAATGCAAAATGTCTGTATTCATGCAAAACTAATGTAAAAACAAGAAATTTGTAATTCAAGTCAAATTCATGACCACTGTATTTTTATTGCTAACACTTTTCTTTAACTCAATGATCGCAAAGACTTTACCTGCAGCACTGAGTCAGAGGCACCAGGATGGAAATCTCATCATGAGAGTGCTTTCCAAAGCTGAAACACACAAGTTTAATTGTAGTTTTTTTTTTTAAGTTGATCAGCATTATGTTCATGATACCTAAACAGTTGTGGTCAAAAGTTTATTTTAATATCAAGCTTTTATAATTTGTTCAAACTGTTTGAATGGTTATATAACAAACTGTTTCAATGTTTTTTWTTTTAAAAACAAGAGTTAGGTCAGAAATAGAATTAGCTCCTGCTCCAAAAGAGACACTTTCAAGCTGGATGGACAAGCCAGATGCCATCCGGCAAAAAACATTTATGTTCAGAGGATTGAAGTTTTGGCCAGAAAGACAAGATATAGGTTCGGAGGAGTCAAAGTGAGATTTAACTCTTAAGAACACTGTATAAGCAGTCAGGCATGGTGGTGGCAGCATCATGCTCTGGTCCTGGTTCTCCATYGTCAAGTCTCACTTTTATTGGTTCATTTCGTTCAAGTTCAAGTCCGGGCAAAGATAGGTGTTTATCCATGGCAGTGTGTCCCTCACTCTGAGGGTGAATCTTTGGCCGTTGTGGTTTTATCATCCMCTAGTCTGACTTTTTTTTGTCACAACATTGTTTATAAGTGCGCCCATAACATGAGTGGCCTGTTTATCCGAAACCTCCCAGTGTACCTGCTCATTTCAGACTGCTCTGTCAAGCTCGACCTGTTTGCACTCATCTCCTAAAGACGATAACAAAAAGTTTGCACCTCACTTCAGGAAGAATTTACAAGTTTTGCCTCGGCTCAGTCAATCCACGGACAAGCAATCTGCTGACGGTAAAATCACTTGTGTGGAATACTTGGCTTGACTCGCCTGGAAATCACCACTGTGGTGGATTGGTGGAGACCCACTCTGGCGATGCTGAACCAATGAGAACTGCTTGAAGGGACACCCGTGGCAAAGAGGAAAGTGGATGGAGCAGTTACATTTCTTCAGCTTCATCTCCAACTAATACTAAATAGGTAGAGCTTGGACACAAGTGGCTGTTCCAATGGGCCAGTGATCCCAAACACATCAGAACTGGTTTTACAGTGAGGCAGGGGAACATTAAAGTGCCTGTGATGTCAATTTTTTGTAATACACATGAATGCATTTTTAGAAAGAGGACACTGATAAAATATTGCTAAATAAATTTCATGTCGCTGAGATGAACAGTTGTTGAGATATTTACATGTGAAGTAACAGGAAGTGATGTCAAAGGGGAATGTCTGCATGTGAACAGAGCGTTGCTACAACAGCCAACAACCCAGACTGTAGAGAAGAATCTGATGTTTCTTAGATTATTTTGAGTCACTATCAGAGAGATGAAGAAGAGTCAGAGTTCAAATATTTTTGTTTCGATAAAAGAAGATCAGAGAGTTTTCTTTGTTAAAGAGTTCCCCTTTGATATCACTTCCTGTTTCACTTTGGCTGAGCCAAGTTCAGAAGAAAATATGCAGTTATGGGAAAAAATGGGTTAAATCGTGTGTATTGTTCCAACTTTCTTAAAGATAAAGATGTTTTCGTTGACTTTTTGTATTTGAAGAATATGCATGTCACAGGCACTTTAAGCCTCTGGCTACTTTGTAAAAACTACTCAAGCTGAATGTTGTATCACCATTCCATCCTGGAAAATAAACCGTTTAAATAAAGCCTTAAAAGTCCCCCAAAAGAACACCCATGCCCACAATGAGTTACGACTGACATAAACTGTTTGTGCATCAATTCTGCTAGAACTGAAACTGTCTCAGCCTACCCTCTGCCATTGTCCAGATGAATGATGAAGGTCTCATTTCCAAACTTTTCAAACGTTTCATAGTGGTGGCGATCCATGTTTCCTGTTAGGAAACACAGACCAAAAATATCAGCAAGAGTAAGTACCAAAATCATTAACTTAGTTTTTTGTAGAGTGTGTTAAAGGCACAACGTGTAGGATTTGTTGTTTTCAGCGACATCTAGTGGTTGAGTGGTTGAATCATCCTCCCTGGTCTTCCTCCCATCCCCACCCCC